ACCTGACCTGACCTGACCTGACCTGACCTGACCTGACCTGACCTGACCTGACCTGACCTGACCTGACCTGACCTGACCTGACCTGACCTGACCTGACCTGACCTGACCTGACCTGACCTGACCTGACCTGACCTGACCTGACCTGACCTGACCTGACCTGACCTGACCTGACCTGACCTGACCTGACCTGACCTGACCTGACCTGACCTGACCTGACCTGACCTGACCTGACCTGACCTGACCTGACCTGACCTGACCTGACCTGACCTGACCTGACCTGACCTGACCTGACCTGACCTGACCTGACCTGACCTGACCTGACCTGACCTGACCTGACCTGACCTGACCTGACCTGACCTGACCTGACCTGACCTGACCTGACCTGACCTGACCTGACCTGACCTGACCTGACCTGACCTTTTTTTTTTTTTTTTTTCTTGGGGGAGGAGGGGAAACCTTCAAAAGGCTCCCCGCGAGAAGATGTCATATTCGCGGGGGAGTGGGGGATTTTTACCGCCCTAAAACCCCTCCCCATTCTTCTGAAGACAGCCAGTACCGTCCTTAGGACATTTCTTTGGCCTGCCTTCGGTCTCACTATTTTTTCCTTTCTATACTTCTTTCTTTCTCTCTTTTTACGTCCATTATGTCATTTATATATTTGTTTATGTCGTTCCAGTTTTTCTCGCTCTTTATCATCATGTTTGTCATGTTTTCTTTCGATATACTACCCTTTATTTTCGTGTTTAGCTCTAGCCTTTTTTCCTTAAATCTTTTACATTCAAATACTGTATGTTCGGGGGTATCCTTTACGTCCTCTTCACAGAACCAGCACAGACCCGTTTCATCTTTTTTTATTCTTTTTCTATATGTATTAAAGGTTCCATGTCCAGTTAACACCATGCTCAGATTGTAGTTTAGCTCTCCATGTCCTCTGTTTATCCAAGGCTCAATGTTATTTATCAACTCCTTTGTCCAACACCTTTCTTCGTTCCACCTCGCTTGCCAATTTGTTAGTAGGTCTCTTCTGCTCATTTCCTTGCTTTTACCTTTCTCTATGTCTTCCTTTTCTATGGCCAGGAGTTCTAGTGGTGGCAAACCCGCTATTACCAATACTGCACTGTGTCTAACCGTTCTGTATGCCCTGGCTACCCTTATGGCCAGACGTCGGTTTAGCCTTTCCAGTTTTTCTTTGTAGATTTTTGTTTTCCACACTTTCATCCATAAGGGGGCTGCGTACATTATTACCGATTTGGCTACCGTCGCATATATCCTTCTAGTGGTGTCTCCGGGGCCTCCGATATTTGGCATAAGCCTCATTATTGCAACGGCTTTTTTCTCTGCATGGCTAACTACATGGTCTACATGAGCTGCCATTCTAAGGTCTTTGTCTATTACTAGTCCGAGGTATTTTATTTTTTTTTGTGTTTTGACGTAAAAATTTTCCGATATCTTTATTTTTAATTCCGGTAGTTTTCTCCTCCCCGACAGTAGAACTGCGTCTGTCTTTTCAAGATTTAATGTTAAGTCCATTTTGTCCAGCTCATTTTTCACTAATTGAATTGCGTCTTTGGCTTTTTCTTGCATTTCTATTTCGCTTTTTGCACACACCACCACCGCGAGATCGTCTGCGAATGCGACCAAACTAGTTCCTTTTGGACATTTTATTTTTAAGATTCTGTCATACAGTACATTCCACAATATTGGCCCTAGCACTGAACCTTGGGGGACTCCGCATGTTATTTCCTGTACTCGTCCTCTACTTGTTCTTATTTTCCTGTTTGTCAGATATTTTTGTATCACCTTTATTAAATGACTACCTATTTTTTTGTTGATCAGTTCTTCTACTATAATTTCCCATCTGGCTGAATTGAATGCATTGCTAATGTCTAACGTAACTAGGAGACAAAATCCCCTGTTTTTATATCCCACTTTGTTTGTCTCTTCAGCTCTTTGCATCACATATTTGATTGCGTCTAAAGTTGACCTCCCGCATCTGAATCCGTATTGCTGTTCCGACAGATCCCCGTTTTCGCGTATTTCGTTTTCCAGTCGTGTTTTTATTAGTCTTTCATACAATTTACTAATGTTATTTAAGAGACATATTGGTCTAAATTCCTTATTTTGCATTTCAGGTTTCATGGGTTTCTCTATCAGCACTAGTTTGGCTATTTTCCATTCCGTCGGAAATGCCCCTTTTTGCCATAAGCTGTTTATACAATCCAATAGCAGGTGGTAATTTCCCTCGGCTACCGCTTTTATTATTTCTATTTTTATACCGTCTGGTCCGGGAGCTTTCTTATTTTTACATTTGCTTAATGCCTCCTTAAGTTCTTCTACGGTAAAATTTGGCTGCTGCTCTGTGTATTCGGGTTCATCCCACGTTATCTGTGGCTTTGAAGGAAATAATTTCTTAATTTGTGCTTCTTCAGTCTCTTCATCTGGGATTGGCGTACACTTTCTAAACTTCTTTGTTATGATTTTGTATCCTTTCCCCCATCTATCTTCGTCGATCTCCAGTAATAAACTTTTCCACGCATCGCTTTTTGCTTTTCTTATAGCTATTTTAAGATTCAATTTAGCTTTTTTATATGCCACTTCTGCTTGTTTTCTCCTATCTTCGATATTTATGTCCCTTCCTGTTTTTGTCATTTCTCGTCTCTTTTTTATGGTGGTTCTTCTTAGCTCCGCAATTTCTGCATTCCACCAGTAGACTGGTGGCCTTCTTTTGCTTTTGTTTGTCTTACTCAGGGAATTATTGCACACTTCTTTTATAGTCTCTCTTAAATATTTCACTTTCTCGTTTAAGTCAGCATTTATTGGAAAATCCCAGTATTCGGCTATTTGTTTTTTTATTTTTTCTAACCCTGCTGTATTTAGTATCCAACTATTAGTTTTTTCCGGTTCTTGGATTCTTTTTGTCTGTTTATTCCTTGTATAGAAGATGTTATTGTGGTTACTTAAGTTCTCGCTGTCTGTATCTACATACCAGTTCGAGATTTCTTTCGCGACCATTTCTGTGGCTAGTGTAATATCAATGACCGACGATCCTCTTTCAGTTTGGAATGTTGGTCTATTGCCAACATTTATTATCCAAAGCCCTGCCTCGGCTATAAATTCTTCTAGTATCTTCCCCCTACTGTCTGTGTATTTAGCTCCCCATGTTTTAGATTTAGCATTTAGATCCCCCGAAATTATCATTTTGTTTGTATTTTTTTTTCCTTTTATGTCTCTCTGTAACTTGTCTAGAAAGCACAAAAATTGTTGATTGCTCTTGTTGGGAGAAAAATAGCACGAGTAATACAGAGTATCTTCTATTCGGACCCACACATAGCCTGGCCCTTTTCCACATTCACTCACATTCGATTTGAAAATATCACAGACTATTATCACAGCATCTTGTTTAGTATCACAGTATATATCACTTGTTCCCAGTGCCTTTATATTTGGCTCTTGGGCTAGCACCAGATCTATATTTTTTTCCTCTATGGTCTTTCTCATAAGTGCCATGGCCATGGCTGATCTGTTTAGATTCACTTGTAGGAACCTATGTAGTGTCACCATTTTGGTGAGCGGTATTTTGTTTATTTGCGCCATTTCAGTTTAATTTTTGCGGAGCCTCCGCACTTCTCTTAGCTTCCTTTAATGCTATTCTGAAGATCTTACATGCTGAACTACCCGCTGTGTGCCCTTCTTTTTCGCAAAGTGGACATTTTGCCTCGTTGTTACACTGCCCGGCTTGATGCCCTTCTTTCCCACATTTATAGCATGTATTTCTTCTATCTATTTCTTCTAAACATTCACTCGCTGCATGTCCGTAACCCCAGCACCGATAACATCGCGTCATCTGCATACGTTCTTCGATTTTACCTTTTACAATTCCTATCATCACAAATTCTTTCCTGATCAAGGTTTCCGCGCTGTCTTTATCTATCGTTATCGTGATTGTTTGTGTGTTATTTCTCGTTGGTCTCACTTCGCCTACTTTCATCTCTACTTCTCCTCTATCTCCCAATTCTCTCCTGATTGCCTGTTTTACTTCTTCTTTATTAGTTGTTGCGTCTAGGTTCCTTATAAACAGTGTTTTCTTGTTTCTATTTATGTTTGTTATTTGTCTCACGTTTGCCTCTTCAATATTTTCTATAATTGTTTTTCTTATGTTTTGTTCCTTTTCCTGGTCTTTATCTGTTATAATCAGCATTTTACCATCTCTCGTACTCCTCACCGTTCTTATAGCTTTTCTATCTTCCTTTTCCGCCAGTGTGGCTTTTACTTCTTTTAAGAGGGTATTGTAGTCGACTCCTTTTTTTTCGACCACTATCGCGTACGAATTTGTTGCTTTGAACTGTCTCTTTCCGGTTTCTGCTTGAAGACTTTTCGGTACGTACATTTTTATTTTTGTTTGCGTCTCCATGAATATACACTGCATCATCTTTCTCAGTTCTTCTCCTTCTATTTCTGCTATCTTATGTGTCACTATGTTTTCTATTTTTTCTTCCTTCGTGTATTCTCGAACTTTTTCTAATAGATCCCATAGGTCATCCTTTGTATCTATCGTCTTTATTTTAATAATCTTCCGAGTTGTTTCTCTTACTTCGTCCTTGTTCTCTATGTTTCTTGTTTTAACCACATTCTCTATTATTTCAAAGTTATTTCTCATTTCTGTCATTTCTGGATACCTATCCCTGAACATTTTTTGAATACTTCGGTTCATATCCGGGTCTCCCGGTTCTGCTATTACTAGCATGCACTCGCTCTTTGTTTCGCTCAATGGATTTCCCACTACTACCTCCACGTTTGACCTGACCTGACCTGACCTGACCTGACCTGACCTGACCTGACCTGACCTGACCTGACCTGACCTGACCTGACCTGACCTGACCTGACCTTGACCTGGGTCATGACCTGACCTTGACCTGGGTCATGACCTGACCTTGACCTGGGTCATGACCTGACCTTGACCTGGGTCATGACCTGACCTTGACCTGGGTCATGACTTGAAAATGTTATCCGTAGGGAGTCATAGTTACTCCCTCGACCTTGACTTGTTGCTGATAGGGAGTCATAGATACTCCCCCGACCTTGACTTGTTACTGATAGGGAGTCATAGTTACTCCCTGGACCTTGACTTGTTACTGATAGGAAGTCATAGTTTCTTTCTTGACCTTGACTATTTGTTGGTAGGAAGTCATAGTCACTCCCTCGACCTTGACAAGTTATTGATAAGGAGTCTTAGTCACTCCCTCGACCTTGACAAGTTATTGATAAGGAGTCATAGTTACTCCCTCGACCTTGACTATTTGTTGAGTGGGAGTCATAGTTACTCCCTCGACCTTGACTATTTGTTGATAGGGAGTCATAGTTACTCCCTCGACCTTGACTTGTTACTGATAGGGAGTCATAGTTACTCCCTCGACCTTGACTTGTTACTAATAGGGAGTCATAGTTACTCCCTGGACCTTGACTTGTTACTGATAGGAAGTCATAGTTTCTCCCTCGACCTTGACTATTTGTTGATAGGGAGTCATAGTTACTCCCTAGACCTTGACTTGTTACTGATAGGGAGTCATAGTTACTCCCTCGACCTTGACTATTTGTTGAGAGAGAGTCATAGTCACTCCCTCGACCTTGACTTGTTATTGATAGGTAGTCATAGTTACTCCCTTGCCAAAAAAGTCAAAAACAGTGTCACACCCGGAAAGTTTAAGACAGTCATAGGCTTCTCATACACTTGCCTGGATGCCGTAAGACATAGATGACGGAAACAAATTCGACCTTGGCGACAATATGGCGGTCCATTTCTTACTCTTCACCTCTTAGAGAGTCATAGGCGTCTCATACGCATCTATAAAGCTTGCCTGAATGCCGCTTGTAATTTATAAGTACGACGAATTCCATTTTTTCAGAAAAAAATGACAAAGTCCGTTTCACACACCTCGTGTTTTGTACGGTCATAGGCGTCTCATACGCATGGCTTACGCTTGCCTGGATGCCGTTTGACGGTGACAACCGAGAGCAAATTCGACCTTGGCGACGAAATGGCGGTCCATTTCTCACCCCTCACCCTTTGATGGTCATAAGCTTCTCAAAGAGCACTCATTCGCCTGCCTGAATGCCGTTTGCGATTTTTTACTATGAAAAAATTATTTTTACGAAAAAATGACTAAGTCCGTTTCAAACGAGCTTCGGCTCACGAAAAAAGCGGAGGTCCGTCCTACGAGCGCACCTAGACCCGATCTCCGAACTGGAGTCGTCTCGAAAATGCAAAATCTACCAGAAACGGTTTTTTTTGGTAAAATCGTATTATGGGTGTTCTTTGAAAGGTGGCTCATTGCTTTTGGATGACAAAAAACTTTAAATAAAACAAAAAAAATTAACCAGTTTATTAATAACTAACATTACATTTGCAAACATTTTTAAACAATTGGTATTCATACTTACTCCTTCGACCTTGAGTTTCTTAAAGGTTCGGGAAGTCATGGCTCAAAGAAGAGTGCTTCCTTGTGTTCAGGTGGTTCTGCTGTCAAAAACGACTGACGATTCTCCAACTAATAGGAGAAAAATCTGACAAGTCACACTAACTTTTTGAAATTGTTTGCATATGTAATGTTAGTTATTAATAAACAAAGTAAATTTTTAAATTTTTTAATTGGTTAATTTTTTAATTTGTTTAATTTTTTTCACTGTAAAATATTTTTCATAGGCATCTTATACCCATCTCATTCGCTTGCCTGGATGCCTTATGCGAGTTTTAGCTATGAAAAAAACGATTTTTACGAAAAAATGACAAAGTCCGTTTCTGACGAGTCTCGGCTCACGCAAAAAGCGGAGGTCCGTCCGTCGAGTGCACCCAGACCCGACGTCCGAACTGGAGTCGACTCGAAAATGCAAAATCTGTTAGAAACGATTTTTTTTGCTAAAACTGCATCTTGGGTGTTGTACAGAAAGTCAGAAGATGTTGAATAACGCCATTTTTCAAGGTCCGTTTTCGAGCTCGGGCCATTTTCAAGGTTATGTCATTTTCAAGACCATGTATGTCATTTTCAAGGCCTTGTATGTCATTTCAAGGCCATGCCATTTTCAAGGTTATGCCGTTTTAAGGTTATGTTTATGTCATTTTCAAGGCCATGTCATTTTCAAGGTTATGCCATTTTCAGGGTTATGCCATTTTCAAGGTTATGCCATTTTCAGTGTTATGCCATTTTCAAGGTTATGCCATTTTCAAGGTTATGCCATTTTCAGTGTTATGCCATTTTTAAGGTTATGCCATTTTCAAGGTTATGCTATTTTTATGGTTATGCCATTTTTATGGTTACCCCATTTTCAAGGCCATGTTATTTTCAAGGTTATGTCATTTTCAAGGTTATGTCATTTTCAAGGTTGTCATTTTCAAGGTTATGTCATTTTCAAGGTTTTGTCATTTTTAAGGTTATGCCATTTTCAAGGTTATGCCATTTTCAAGGCCATGCCATTTTTCAAGGCCATGTATGCCGTTTTCAAGGCCATGTATGCCGTTTTCAAGGCCATGTATGCCGTTTTCAAGGCCATGTATGCCGTTTTCAATGCCATGTATGTCATTTTCAAGGCCATGTATGTTATTTTCAAGGTTATGCCGTCTTAAGGTTATGCCATTTTCAAGGCCTTGTCATTTTCAAGGCCATGTGTGTCATTTTCAAGGCCATGTCATTTTCAAGGTTGTGCCATTTTTAAGGTTATGCCATTTTCAAGGCCATGTCATTTTTAAGGTTGTCGTTTTCAAGGTTATGCCATTTTCAAGGTTATGCCATTTTCAAGGTTATGTCATTTTCAAGGTTATGTCATTTTCAAGGTTATGCCATTTTCAAGGTTATGTCATTTTCAAGGTTATGTCATTTTCAAGGTTATGCCATTTTCAAGGTTATGTCATTTTCAAGGTTATGTCATTTACAAGGTTATGCCATTTACAAGGTTATGCCATTTTTAAAGTTATGCCATTTTTAAGGTTATGCTATTTTCAAGGTTATGCCATTTTTAAGGTTATGTTTATGTCATTTTCAAGGTTATGTCATTTTCAAGGTTATGTCATTTTTAAGGTTATGCCATTTTCAAGGCCATGCCATTTTTCAAGGCCATGTATGCCGTTTTCAAGGCCATGTATGCCGTTTTCAAGGCCATGTATGTCATTTTCAAGGCCATGTATGTTATTTTCAAGGCCATGTATGTCGTTTTCAAGGTTATGCCGTCTTAAGGTTATGTCATTTTTAAGGCCTTGTGATTTTCAAGGCCATGTGTGTCCTTTTCAAGGCCATGCCATTTTCAAGGTTATGCCATTTTCAAGGTTATGTCATTTTCAAGGTTATGCCATTTTCAAGGTTATGTCATTTACAAGGTTATGCCATTTTTAAAGTTATGCCATTTTCAAGGTTATGCTATTTTCCAGGCCATACCATTTTCAAGGCCATGTCATTTTTAAGGTTATGCCATTTTCAAGGTTATGCCATTTTTAAGGTTATGCTATTTTCAAGGTTATGCCATTTTTAAAGTTATGCCATTTTCAAGGATATGCCATTTTCAAGGTCAGGCAATTATTAAAGTTAGGCCATTATCAGGATCATTGTTTTCAAGGAGTTTTGAAGATTTGTGACCATTTTCCATTGTTTCCCAACATTTCCCGTCATTTCCTGTCATTTCCCAAAATTTCCGAAAAAAAACATTTCCCGTCATTTCCCATGATTTTCCAAAAGTCCTCAAAAGATGTCCCAGAAACCATTTCCCGTCATTTCGCAATGTGTATCCTGCTTTCCCACAATTTTCCAGGATTTCCCAAGTTTTAAAAATTTCCCAAAATTTCTTGTAATCTGTAGTCATTTCCCGTCATTTCCCACGATTTCCCAAGATTTCCCAAGATTTCCCAGAATTTCCTAAAATTTCCCAAACCCATTTCCCGTCATTTCCTGTCATTTCCCTAAGATTTTTCATAAGTTCCTAAAAATTGTATTAAAAATCATTTCCCTTCATTTCCCAGGATTTCCCAGGATTTCCCAGGATTTCCTAGAATTTCCCAAAATTTCCCAAAACCCATTTCCCGTTATTTCCCGTCATTTCTCCAAGATTTTCCATTAGTTCCCAAAATTGTCCAAAAAATCATTTCCCGTCATTTCCCAAGGTTTCCCATGATTTCCCACTATTTTCTAGGATTTTCCAAGATTTCCCACGATTTCTCAAGATTTCAAAAGATTTCCCATTATTTTGTGTCATTTCTCGTCATTTCCTATCATTTCCCAAGATTTCCCAAGATTTCCCAAAATTTCCTTAAATTTCCAAAAACACATTTAAACACGTTTCCCGTCATTTGTCATAATTTCCCACGGTGACAATTTCCATTATATTTTAAAGTTTGCCAATGTTTTTTCAAGGTCACAATAATTTCAAGGTTACTTGTTTTCAAGGTCATCATATTTTCAAGGTCACAATTTTTGAAGATTTTTAAGATTTTTGAAGATTTTTGAAGATTTTTGAAAATTTTTTAAGATTTTTGAAGATTTTTGACAATTTTGGAAGATTTTTGAAAATTTTTGAAGATTTTTGAAGATTTTCGAATTTTTTTAAAAACTTTGAAGATTTTGAAGATTTTTAAAGATTTTTTAAGATTTTTCAAGATTTTTCAAGATTTTTCAAGATTTTTTCAAGATTTTTTTCAAGATTTTTTCAAGATCTTTTAAGAGTTTCAAGATTTTTTTCAAGTTTTTTTAAAGATTTTTTAAAGATTTTTTCAAGATTTTTTCAAGATTTTTACCCCAAAAATGAAGATTTTTTTTCGAGAAAATCAAGATTTTCCAACACAAATCAAGATTTCCACTCCAAAAAATCAAGGTTTTTAAGATTTTTTCCCAAAAAAACAAGATTCTTACCCCAAAAAACTCAAGATTTTTTACCACAAAAAACAAGATTTTTACTCCAAAAATCAAGATTTTACCCCAAAAAACTAAGATTTTACCCCAAAAAACAAGATTTAGCCCAAAAAAACAAGATTTTTTACCCCGAAAAACCAAGATTTTACCCCAAAAAACCAAGATTTTACCCCAAAAAACCAAGATTTTACCCCAAAAAACCAAGATTTTACCCCAAAAAACAAGATTTTACCCCAAAAACAAGATTTTTTACCCCAAAAAACCAAGACTTTACCCCAAAAAATCAAGATTCTTACCCCAAAAAAATCTTGATTTTTACCCCAAAAATAAAGATTTTTACCCCAAAAAATGAAGATTCTTACCCCAAAAAATGAAGATTTTACCCCAAAAAATCAAGATTTTTTCCCCAAAAAAAACCAAGATTTTTTCCCCCAAAAAACCAAGATTTTTTCAAAAGTGACAATTTTCTAATGGTCTCCCCTTCTTCAAATTTCGCAGAAATTTTGACATTTTCGAAACCTAACTGAGTACATTTTCTTGTAGATTTCGAGCTCTAGAACTCACTTCCGGCCTAGATTCTTTGATAGGTGCAACCGTTTTTCCAGAATCGACGTTTGAAATATCGAAATTTTTGAAATTTTTTTTTCAAGATTTTTACCCCAAAAAACCAAGACTTTACCCCAAAAATCAAGATTTTTACCCCAAAAAACCAAGATTTTTCCCCAAAATGCAAGATTTTTCCCCAAAAAAACAAGATTTTTTTTACCCCAAAAATCAAGATTTTCCCCCAAAAAACAAGATTTTTCAAGATTTTTACCCCAAGAATCAAGTTTTTTAACCCAAAAAATCAAAATTTTTACTCCAAAAAAATCAAGATTCTTACCCCAAAAAAATCTTGATTTTTACCCCAAAAACAAAGATTTTTACCCCTAAAATTAAGATTCTAACCCCAAAAAATCAAGATTCTTACCCCAAAAAATCAAGATTCTTACCCCACACAAATCTTGATTTTTACCCCAAAAATGAAGATTTTACCCCAAAAAATCAAGAATTTTTCCCCCAAAAAACCAAGATTTTTTCCCCAAAAAAATCAAGATTTTTCCCCCAAAAAACCAAGATTTTTTCAAAATTGGCAATTTTCCAATGGTCCCCCCTTCTTCAAATTTCGCCGAAATTTTGAC